TGGTCACTCTCATCTACAGTGATTGTCCAGCTCTCTCGGACACACACAGCTGGTCACTCTCACCTACAGTGATTGTCCAGCTCTCTCAGACACACACAGCTGGTCACTCTCACCTACAGTGATTGTCCATCTCCCTCACACACAGTGCTGGTCACACAGCCTTCAGAACCTCTAGCAGCTCTAACAGTTGTGTGGGTCAGAGGGTGCAGTGTTTCTGCTGCAGAGCTGTGTCTTGTGTCAGTACATTGGGGACCCATGTCTGCATCAGGGCTCTGAGCGCTTGCTTGCTCTGACACTGACCTGGTACAACCTTGCTCAGTGCGGTAGTGAAACGTTTCGCTGTTTGTGGTACAGGATGTGCTTTCTTTGTCTTCTCTGGCTCTTTAACAATGAGCTTGTGTCCCACTCGGCGCTCTGCGGCACTGCTGTGGCAGAGGTGGTCTGGAGCGAGCCCCGGTGCGGGAGGGTGAGAATACCCCTCTGGAGCTGCGGACGAGCTGGGCTGACCTTGCCTGCGGAAGACAGGGAGGGACTGGGTGGGAATGTGAAAGACAGGGGAGCTTGTGAGCTCTAGTGGGAGGGAGGTCACACAGCCCGGGAGCCTGGCTATGCAGGAGGCCAGACTCTGTCTCCTCCATCTCCTGCTCTGTGGGCTTAATCCGGCCTCCCTGTCCACGGGCAGAGGGAGCAGGAGTGAGGGCTTGAAGCAGCCTGTTGCAGAACTGAGAGATGAGCACCTCGAGAGAGGGAGCGGCAGCCTGTCTCCGGCAGAGAGAGAGGTCACAGCGGCCTGGAGACTCCCACTCTCCTCTCTCTCTGTCTCCTTCTTTTGTTTGTTTCCTCTCTCTTCTCAAGCTCTGTGCTGCTGCCGCCTCCCCCCACAAAAATGAGAAACACCTGGTTTCTTTTTTGATTTCTTTTAAAAAATCATTGAAGGTACACCAGTAAGGCAGTTAGAATAGAAGACGGTCCAGCAAATCTGTATCTTCACATTAACACTTCATCATCCTCATCATCCTCAGACCTGTAGAGTAACTGTAGAGACACTCAGTCCAGCTCCTCTGTATCTTCACATTAACACTTCATCATCCTCATCATCCTCAGACCTGTAGAGTAACTGTAGAGACACTCAGTCCAGCTCCTCTGTATCTTCACATTAATACTCCATTATCATCATCCTCAGATCTGTAGAGTAACTGTGGAGACACTCAGTCCAGCTCCTCTTTATCTTCACAGTAACACTCCATCATCATCATCATCCTCAGACCTGTAGAGTAACTGTAGAGACACTCAGTCCAGCTCCTCTGTATCTTCACATTAATACTCCATCATCATCATCATCCTCAGACCTGTAGAGTAACTGTAGAGACACTCAGTCCAGCTCCAAATCTAGAACTGGAATAACTCTTGTAAATGTTTTTAGACCTTTAGGGGACTTTGTAATTTCACTGTTGCCTTGTTACAAAGTATAGAAGTATTCTTAGTACACTTGTAGTTTTAAAGTGTTACTAGGCAGATTTTCCCATTTGGATCACGGTGCTGGGATGGAGAGGACTGAAAAGGAGAGAGACGTCTAGATGAAGGAACAGGGCATGTCGACCCAGTGGGAGGGAGAGGGAGAGGGTAAAACCGAAGGGAGGGGTATTTTAAAAGGGCAGAAAGCAAGATGGAGGAAGAGAGAGCAGGAGTTGAAAGCTGGGATAGATGAAATGCAGAGAAACAGAACGTGTGAGAGGGAGAGAGAGAGAGAGGAGACAGGAATGAGCAATGGATAGAGACATCACGGCAGGGGGAGAAAGAGAGGAGTCTAGAGGCTTAATAACTATTGCCTTGAGTCTGTCCAGCACCCTTCATCCCTACGTTAGCGATTCTGAGTGGTGCGTTAAGACAAATTCTCATAGAGTCAGATGTTACTGCCTTATAAAAATCCTACTAACCTCTTACCGTAATTCAATATGTTAAATATGAAAACATAAAATCAAAGTAAATACTATGATTGTATAGACTCACTATCTAGCTGTAACAGATGTGCTTGACAAATTTTTCAGAGAACAAATCTTTTTGTTTTCCCGATATTTTTAAGTTTTCCGAGCTGCAGCTGTCGAGCTGACATCCGAGGTCTCCCGCCCCGGTCCCGACCGGGATCCGCTAAGCTTAGCTTCGGGGTTCTGATGAGATCGGGCTCGGTTCTCACTCCAGGCCCTGCTGAGTCTTCAGGATCCGGGTCGATGTGGGCCAGCCCGGGTTCGGTGAGCGATGATCTGTGCTCTGGACTAGAGAACAGCCCCAACCTGTGGGAGCCTGCTCGCGCTGTCAAACGCAGATCATCTCCTTTACCATTTATATGAATGTATTGTTCCAGACTCGGGCCATTTTGCAAAGACCATGTGTCACAATGTCACAATAGTCATTTTTTAGTTACTTTTTTTTGTTAAAATTACTTGCCTTTTGACTAATTTATAGGTTAAGCAAGCAGGTTTTACTGCTTTTCTGTGCTGTAAGCCTAAATTGCCTTCATAGTCAGATAGAGTAGGACCACTAGTACAATGTAACTCAGGTTGCGGTGTTAAAAATGACAGGAGCCCTCAGGCTGGAAAGCTGCTTTGTTCATTTCAGCTTGTGCGCTTAGCAACTCACATGCGGCAGTTTCCAGTCCAGTCCACCAGGTGGCACTGGTCATGTTTCAGCTGTCCAGGAAGAGCAGCTCGCAGTGTCACTTCCTTCATGAGCTGGACTGCGTGTCTCTACTCGTGACCTGATGATGATGGTGATGGAGTGTTAATGTGAAGATACAGTTAAGCTGGACTCAGTGTCTCAGTTACTCTACAGATCTGAGGAGGAGGATGATGATGGTGAAGATGGAGTAATAATGTGAAGCTATGAGCTGGACTGAGTGTTACTCTGCAGATCTATGAAATGACTAGACAGAACCATGTGTCAACATTACAGATGTTTGGTAGCTGTCCAGTAACTACTAACTATTCTGCCTCAACCTCAACTTACAACCTACTCTACCGTAATGTACCGAGCTACAGATTCTTATTAGATATGGTATAGTACAGCCTCTTATTGGACACACTGTATAGACACACCCGCAATAAGACTCTTTTTAGAAACAATGTATATACACCAGGAGTGTCTTATTAGACCCTCTGTATAGACACACCTGCAGGACAGACTCATATTGCTCACACTATATAGACACACCTGTAGAACAGACTCATATTGCTCACACTATATAGACACACCTGTAGTACAGACTCATATTGAACACACTATATAGACACGCCTGCAGGACAGCCTCTTAATGGACACACTGTTAAGACACGCCTGCTGGACAGACTCTTAATGGACACACTATATAGACACGCCTGCAGTACAGACTCTTAATGGGCACACTATATGGGTGGAGCGGTGGCTCTGTGGCTAAGGATCTGTGCCTGTGGCTGGAAGGTTGCCGGTTCAAGTCCCGTGGCTGGCAGAGGAATCCTACTCCATAGGCCCCTGAGCAAGGCCCTTAACCCCAACTGCTCCAAGGGTGCTGTACAATGGCTGACCCTGTGCTCTGACACCTTGTCTGTGTGTCTCATGGAGAGCATGCTGGGGTATGTGAAAAGACAAATTCCTAATACAATAAATTGTATGTGGCTATAAAGTGACATATATAGTAGACATATATATAGACACGCCTGCAGTACAGCCTCTTAATGGAAACACTGTAGACACACCTGCAGTACACACTCTTATTAAAAGCAACATATACCAATGGAAAAAAAGAAACACAACACCTCCCCCTCCCTGTTCCGTGTGGAACAGGCTGAAGAGTGACTCATCCGTGAAGAGGACCTGATGCCACTGCTGACGAGTCTTTCGCAGCCTCTGTCTGGCGTGATGTCTAGGAGGTGTGAGCAGAGGGCCTCTGACAGGCCGCCTTGCTCTAAGGCCAGCAGCATGGAGCCTCACTGTCCTATCGCTGATGCAGGCATTGTGTCTGCTGGCAGTTTCAGCAGCAGTACAGGTGGCAGATCTGAAACGATCTCTCAGATGGACAAGTCTGATGTGTCGGTCACTCGAGGGCGACCGCATCTTGGACGGTCATCTGTCGTGCTGGTCTGCTGAAACCTTCTCGGCAGTCGGGACACAGTGGAGCGGCTTACTCCATAGTGTCTGGCAACGCTGGCACTGTATATATACACCTCGAGTGTCTTATTAAATCCTGTTATTGGACGCACTGTATAGACACGCCTGCAGTACAGACTCTTATTGGACCCATTGTATAGACACACCTGCAATACAGACTCTTACTGGACACACTATATAGACACACCTGCAGTACAGACTCTTATTAGACACACTGTATAGACACACCTGCAGTACAGACTCTTACTGGACACAATATAGACCCACCTGCAGTACAGACTCTTATTGGACTCACTGTATAGACCCACCTGCAGTACAGACTCTTATTGGACCCATTACATAGACACACCTGCAGTACAAACTCTTACTGGAGACACTGTATAGATACAGCTGTAGTACAGCCTCTTATTGGACACACTGTATAGACACATATATAGACACACCTGGGATACAGACCTATTGTAAAATATTAAACATTATCTTGCATGCAATGTACAGCACCTTAAGAAATGTATAACACTTATTGTCCACCAGTAGTGGTGTACAGATTGAAGGAGCCTCAGCTCTGCCCTGGGAGAGTTTGTCTGTGAGTCTGCTTGCTGTGCAGTCACTGCCTCCTCCTCCACTCTCTCCCTGCGTGTCTGTGCCTGGCTGGGACGCTCCCTTGGCGATGTGGCTTACATCTTTTTACAGAGAAAAGAGCTGCGAGGGAGCAAGGGGCCTGAGGGCCTGATTTAAATCTCTCCGCTCCGTGTTCGTTCAAGGCACAGCGGCATCAGCCCCAGGCCTCAGCACTGCCGCCTCCTTCCGTGGTTAATTGCTGATTGTTTTAATTAAGGAACTGGATGTGCCCCAGAGCAGATGAGCGTACCAGGTGTTTGATTATTTCTGCCTTAAACACACACACACTCCCAGCCTGCAACCTGAGCATTGATCTGGGATTCACACTGGTTCATTAAACATTAACGATAAGGCATGGAGCATCAGAGCGTCTTGCTCAAGAGCTTTAATTTATTTGAAATTCTCATTTCATACAAAGAGGTGCTGTCAGTAGTGATGTCTGTCTGGGGCGGGGTGGGGCGGGGCAAGGGCGTGGTCTCAGCAAAGCCTGCTGTCATGGAAACAGGGAGGGGGAGGGGTCACAGCGTTACACACCAAAGGTGTCAACAGTACAGAAAAACTGAAAAGAAAATTGTTCTTCTGATGATGCTCTATATATACAAATCTCTGTAGATTAGTCTCTGGAGGGGGGCCGTCAGGCCTGTGGCGTCCACACTGAGGGGAGACTCCTTTGGAAACGTTGAGCTGCCAGACAAACTGATTAACCTGCTGGCTTTTGAATTTTAAGAGGCGTTCTTAATAACGGGGGTGGCTAGTGTGGCTCTGGTAAAAGCCCCGATTTTAGACGCGCTCAATCCGACCCGCTGGCACTGCGACCACGCATCTGGGGCACGACCTCAAGACAGAGCTTGACACCGGTCTCGTTTCTGGAGCCCCCAGTCTTGAGCATTAAGTAGCGGAGGCCGGTCCCCCATGGCGCTGAGCACAGGAGGGCGAGCGGGGCACAGGAGTGTCCCTGTCAGTGTGACGTCCCTTCCTCCCTCTGTCCCTGAGCGGCTGTCCCCGAGCACTCCAGCGGATGGACGAGGCGGGCGAGCGAGCGTCTGGCTCGCCCGTCGGGCCTGCGTTTCTTCATCCTTCTGCGTCCCAAGCCCCCCCCCCCAGTGGCACTCCAGTCTAGTGCAGAGGGGACAGGCCTGGAGGAAGCGTCTCGCCAAATCTGAGGCCGGTACCAGAGTCTGGGCTTGTGCCTTGGCCAGCCGCAATGTCAGTAGAACCATTTTCACCCACAGATTCTTTCCCAGCGGCTCCAAGACGGACTCTCCGGGGCTCGCGGGTGAAACTAGCCCCGGTTTCTCCTTAGCCGCCAGCATTCACTTCTGTTGCTGCGTCGCCCCCTGCAGGGCGGGTGCTGCGTGCGCACGCAGTTGGCACTACCCTGAAGGTCCCTGTTGCTGGAGTGTACGGGAACAGCCGCTGGGATGGGGGCGGGCTTCCGGAGTGATTGTCTAAGGATTGTAGGGTGGGGGTAGTTGGGGGAGGGAGGGATTATCGTGAGGTAGGTAGTCCAATGCTGTAACTACATCAATTGCATGTTATTGTCACAGATGTAACTGCTATTGATTTTAGGATAAAGGGGCAAAATGGCAGTGGGGTAAGGGAGGGGTGGGCACACTTATCTTTATTTATAATTTTTACATATATATTATATTATATCTTTTGCAAAGTGTTAAAATTGTGTATGCAAGAAAGACACACTTTTGCCTCCGTGACGTCTATTTTTTGAGATTTTCGCCTGGATTAGATATAAATATTTTTTCTCAGCATTGTTGTCTTTTAGAAAGTTGTTCACTTTGATCTGAGCTCTTAATCCTGCAGTGTGTAGGAGAGAGTCTGTCACAGCGCTGGTACAGTGAGGGGAGAGTCAGTGGGGTTCAGTCTGTCATAGCACTGGTACAGTGAGGAGAGAGTCAGTGGGGTTCAGTCTGTCACAGCGCTGGTACAGTGAGGGGAGAGTCAGTGGGGTTCAGTCTGTCACAGCGCTG